TATATGACTCGCATGTATATGTACTTAAATTAATCTTTTAACTGATTTTAATATTTTTTTATTTTCCTCTATTGTAAATTATTATGATTTGTTGTTTAATTTATTAGCTATATATTTTGTATTATATTTTCTACGAAGGGCAGGATTTTAGAAAGGCTATTATAGCCTAATCTTTAACCCTTCTTAAATAAAGTCATTATTATTATTATTAAATTATGGACATTGAAATAGTGGCCAACCAATGGAGAATAGAAAGCAGAGGAAATAATTTTAGCGTTGTGCTAACATGGAGTGGTTTCTATTTATGTGTGCTACAAAAGTACCATTACACATACAGAGGAAGAACTGCCCGAAGAGCACCCTCTAAAAAATGGAAGAGTTGATGAAAACTGATGCGTGCTGGTTTATCTATCCATGTTTGCTTTCCTATCGGTTCTTGCATAAAATTTACTGTTTAGCCTATTTTTGCCTTGGTGTGTTACGTTTAATTTGATCGGGAGACGTGTTCGTCAACGTCAACGTCAAGAATTGGTCGTGGCACTGCAAGAGGAGTGGGTCGGAATGCCCCAAATCGTTATTGGACGGTTGATTAGGAGAATGCCACGACGAATTGCTGAATGTCTGAGGATTGGTGGAGCAATTACTCATTATTAAGACAAAAATCAAAAAAACATCCATTTTCACTATTGACGGTGTATCTCTTTGCGAGATCTCTTTGAGAGTATATAACAAAATTGTACATTGATAGCAGTCACTAGTTAGGATCCCTTACTAAGTGCAGTAACTGGCCTGTCAGTACTATATGACGATATATGTATATTTATGATCCGGTATATTAAAGAATTGAAGAATCATTCGAAGTCTGTTATATCCGAAGAGAGACTTTACACCTCTAAAATACCAAGGTTGTGGACCATCTACTGTCTGAACCTTTCTATTTTTAAACGGCTTTCTTCGATTATGAACAAATTATGTAACTTTGGATATTATAAACTTACCTGTGTGTTTGAAATCAACTCCGGTTAAATAAAATCCATTGCACAATTACATATCCCAATGAATAAAAATTTCTTTCTTGAAAACATTTGACGTGTTTACATATATTTTCGACCGAGTGCAAGACAACACTGCTTTCGTCACGTGTTGGGCGAAACCAAATGAGGCTTTTGACAACCACGTGTTGCAATAAAAACAAACCGTGATTGTTTGAGTTTGGGCGACGAAAAATATCAACTGAAGGCAATTACATAGAAGATTTATATTGAAACCATTGATGGCCAGCCTACCAAATTTTATTCACAATGAAAATACCAATGATTGCATGGATACTCGTAAAAATAAAGTCATATATAAACAAAAACTTTCCTATTATCTTTATATTATAAATAATTTAACAAACAACATGGGTACAAGTCTAAAGAACGTCAAACGAATGTCATTATTTTTGTGCCGCGTTTGTGTTCAAAAGAAAATTCTCCCATCCGTATAATCAAATAATTAAAACAACATATTTCAAAAGAAAATCTATAAACAGGGATTTTACTAGAATGTAAAAAGATGGTAACAAAATAAATGGATACGGGCAGTTATATGTGTGAACACCCAAACTCAATACCGAGCCCCTTTATACGAAATGATCTCTCCCGACGAGTGACGTAATCGGGCTCCATTGTGGTATTGCCCGAAGTTAAAAGTTTGTGGGAGTTCAATTTTTCAAGAGAAAACTTTTTTATTCGTTGGAATATTTAATTGTACAGTGGATTTTATTTATACCGGAGTTGATTTCAAACACACATGTAAGTTTATAATAACCAAAATTCAATAGTTCACAATCGAAGAAATACGTTTAAAAAATAGGAAGGTTCAGACAGTAGAGGTCAGGTGTTTTATCCGATCATGAACTTAAAACAAGTATCACTAGCTCTTGGATGAGTTCAATTTTGGTACCCTACTTTTTAAGCAAAATGTGATATATAAATGAAGTTTGTGGACCTTCCTGAGGCTAGAATTTTTGTCCGATTCATGAGATGAAACTTAAACTATGTGTTAAAGATCAAAAGTTGGTGCGCAGCAGACCTCACATTCTAGAGCTACAGCCCCAGCTTTTTATGCAAGATGTGAAATATGTATGAACTTTTAGGCCGTCCAGAGGGGCTTCAATTGTTGTCCCATTCTGATGAAAGTTCACAAATATGTTAAAGATCAAAAGATCTTGATTGAGAGGACGGGCCCTATAGATTTTACCTCTTCCCCATACATTTCTTGGAAAATGTGGGCGTATTTTGCATGACAAGCGCTTGTTTGAACTGGTGCCTTTTTATACCCATCTTACGCTTTCGCGTACTATTGTATGTACTCATTTACAGTACTAACACATTTGTTTTGTTTTGTTTTTTTTCTTAATAATTTAAAAAAAATGTTTTAGAATTTAATTTGCAGAAGAAAAAAAAGTTAATATTGAGAGCTAATTAACTCGCCCCGATGTCACCCCTTTAAGTAATAGTAGTGGCCAAGCAAATATTTACTGCTGCTCAGTTTGATATGTCTAAGTAGTGAACGTTATGGGTGATCGGTATCTAGTGAAAGCCTATATTATACACCGACGTTTTAATATGAAGTTAGTTGTCACGTCTCGCGTGGTAAATGTCACAGGAAGCTACAGTAGTTCAAAATGGTTATAAAAGATATTTAAAAATACATACCACGTCTCTTTTTCGATACTTCACATCTTCCAACTCTTCGAATTAATGTTCTGTTTATGTTGTGAATAAAATCTAGATGGGTGTGTGTGCAATAAAAAGGAATTACCAGCTTGAGTAATGACCTCGGTGGAAGCGGACGTAAAATACAACTAATTCATCATCATCATCATTGAGTAATGACGAATGTGCTAGTGGTGCACATAGTCAATTCACTAGGAAATCAAAATTAATGTTCTGTTTATGTTGTGAATAAAATCTAGATGGGTGTGTATGCAATAAAAAGGAATTACCAGCTTGCGTAATGACGAATGTGCTAGTGGTGGACAGAGTCAATTCACGAGGAAATCAAAATGACGGGAAGTCTGCTGTTATTGGTTAAAATTATAAAATTTCCAACGAAACATTTATGGGATTAATTACTTAAACATGCATTATGCAAGAGCAAAATCTGCTCATTACAAGTCGTTCTTTAGGCTTGAAATGTTATCTAAATTATCAATTAGACATTAATTAACTTATCCATTAACGGCCATTGATAATTAAATCAAAACAGTGGATAATCCAGACAATGCTGTTTATATTAATGATTTTAGTAAGGATGACCGAGACTATGCGAAAATTTCACCCGCTTCGTTCTCGGCTCATAGTGGATCAATTTGACTGAAATTTTCAGCAAATTACCTTTACACTATCTAGTTTTTAACTATTATAGCGAGAACTGCCATCTCTTTATCTTATCTCCCATAATGTATCTTTAATATTCCACAAGATATTGGGCTTTGAAAAAAAATGATTTTGATACAGTGTTTTGGGTTTGTGGTGTTTTTTACCACAAGAGTTTTACAAGATATTGGACTTAAAAAAAAATCCTTTTTTTCAAAAAATATCCAATATCTTGTGGAACTCTTGTCACAATGTGGTATAAAACACCACAGACCCAAAACACTGTATCAAAATTATTCTAAGTCAACCATTTTGTGAAATGTGGTACCACACAGGCATATAGGAAGGTCTGAGAAGAATTTTTTGAAAAAATTGATATTTTTTCTATGTCCAATTTCTTGTGGAAGTTTTGTAGTGAAAAACACCATAGACCCAAAACACTGCATCAAAGTTATACTAAGTCGAAAATTTTGTGGAATGTGGTACCACGCAGGCATATAGGAAGGTCTGAGAAGAATTTTTTGAAAAAAAATGATTTTTTGTTCTAAGTCATCTTGTGAAAAACACCACAGAATAATATTTTGTAGAATATATTTTCCCCACATCTTACAAGATGATAGGATAAACTATTACTGTTCCAGCAAAATAAAAAGAAAATGTTTCATAAATTTTTCATTGTCCACACTGGCATATAGGGAGGTCTGAGACGAATTTTTAAAAAAAATTGATATTTTTTCTATGTCCAATATCTTGTGGAACTCTTGTGGTGAAAAACACCACAGACCCAAAACACTCTATGAATATTATTTTAAGTCGAAAGTCTTGTAGAATGTATTTATTTTCAGAAATCCAACATCTTGTGGAACTCGTGCAGTGTTCGAAGCTAAGTCTTGCTCCTCCATTTTTAAATTAAATCAAAATATGGCTGAACCGTTCTAATCTATTTAATGTCATAATGGCGCAAGAGTTACTAACCTAGACGAACGAACGCGTAAGCCCATAGAGTTACTGTTCGAAAATCGAACTCATCCGCGATTTTTGTGTAATAAACATATGTTTGAACGTTAATCAAAATTGGACAAATCAATTGTAATCTCTAGACCTGTAGACGACGCACAAATAAAATGTGAACGGACATAGGAACGGTCGGGCGGACAGGAGAGATGGCATAATACGTCCACATGAAAATGTGGGCGTATAAAGCTTAAAACATAACCCTGTTCTAAATACTTGTGTATTGCAGTTAAGTTTGCCTCTTGTCAAATATTTGGTTTGGGTTTTAATAATTTCATTAAAAAAATAAAATGATAAGATGTCACAAGATCTCAATAGAACTTAATGGCAACGATTAGCTATGATATGGTTAATGTCGGTTACCCATCTGCCTTCAATGTCATTGAGAGGCTCTGTGATAGTTATCAAATACAAAATTTCACTTTCCACGATGGGTTGGCCATAAGACCCTAAATACCACGCTGCGTAGGTGCCTTTAGTAAGCAGATTTAATAGACAAGCCGAGAGTGTTGTAGAACGTGATCGTCGCGATCATCAAGTCACGAAATAATTTAGATGAGTTGCGAACGGCTCAGTATATAAGTTCAAAAATAGTTATAAAAGATAGTAATTAATACATACCCTGCCTCTTGTTCGACACTTCCCAGCTTCCAGCTTGTCGAATTGATATGATGTTTATGTTGTGATGTGATTACAGACAGGTGTGACTTTTCAACGGAATTTCCAGTTACGATAATAATGATATAAATAGCCAGTTGAATGCACGATGGGTGCACGAAGTAAATTCACGGGGAAATCAAATTAACGGGACGTCCGTATGTTCATAATGTCATGACGTTATTATTGGTTTAAACTATAAAATTTCAATCAAAACAAGGAAAGTATTTGCAGGTTTTAGTTGATTATTATTTATTAGTTCAATTACTTAATATCATCTAAATTATAATTTCAACAACAAATAATATGACCAAATCTGCTAAGTGGGTATGTTGCTGGCTCACTAACAAGGTCGCGGTGACTGAAAGTTACATTTTATTTAAAGTTTATTGACTGTGAGTGTGTAGTATTGTATTGTATATATTAAATAGAGAGACAAGTGGGGTTTAACGTCCACTCGACACAGGCTAGGTCATTTCGGGGCTAACATATGGTTTAATTTTATTTTAATAATTCGATTGCGCGTAGGGGTCTCTAGCAGTAGGAGGAAACCGGAGGACCCGGAGAAAACCCACGAGGTTGGACAGGCAACCCTACTCCTTGTCACGTACAACCGGGGATTAGAAACCACGCCAGTTAACTCAATGACAGGCCTTATGATACAGCGCGCACTTGCTAACCATTAGGCCACCCAACCCCCCTGTATTGTATTAAAGATTTATGTATGTTCGCTTATCACGCTTCGTCGCGGCCCTCCAAGCTAAAAAAAATGCGATGTTTTTGAACAATCAGGGGCCATAATCCAGGACGTTAAGATCCGATATACACGAATATCGACAGGAACCGAGATCGTTTGGATATAAACATATATTTTCAGTTTCATCAAGATCGGATAAAAACTGTGACTTCTAATAGAGGGTGCAAAAACTTGGTATTACATACTTTTAGACTATTTGCGTACAAGGAACGGTCATTTTGTCCGGTAGTTTCGGTCGGATTTTTACGAAATTCGAACTCAACCATCACTGTGGTGAAACGGTGATAGATTTAAACGTTTTTAAATAATTAAGTACAATTTGTGTCTTCTAGGGGGTCCACAAGTTAAAAACGTCAAAACTTCAAACAAAGATAACTTCCCTTGGAAAAAAGTAATTTGAAAGTTCAATATAATTATTATTGTTTTTTTCTAAATATACTGGCACGAACGGTTAGTTCTTTTTCTAAATCTTGCATAAAATCTAATTTATGAATAGATCAACAACACTTCCTGTAGGTGGTGGGCGTCCGTTAGCTCGGCTTGAAAAACTGAAACATGTGACACGTTGTTTCCTCGTCTCCGTATTTTTCAGAACACGTCCGTGACTAATTGATTATTACTGGCTAGGTTATTGTCGAAAATTTTAATAAACATTCGGAGTCCAGCACTAGGGGTGAAACTGCCAAAAAGGAAAAACTTGTCCATGGTGCCTAGTTAAGGATTTCTTAAAATGGTTCCAGTTGAATTGTTACGATTTATTCCAACTGGCTTGCGTATTTCAGGGGCGTAGCCCAGATTGTCAAGCCAGTGGAGCTAAGGCTGTCCTATCAGAAAACTGTTCAAACAGCGCCGGCAGAACTACGCAATTTGGATAATGTTCTATATAATATAAGGAACACAATTACATCTTCGCATGGATCAGAACGGTGGAAAATATTGGCTCATGGAACTTGGATATGGCGGTGTCGAATGAAAGGTCCGTCGGGTCGGATTGGAGACTGTTTCGTATTGTAAGTTGTTTAAAAATACATCATGCAAAGGCTAAATCTGCCTATTGTAGGTCTGTCTACATTTTGGTTTCAAATGTTCTACAAACTATTATTTAAACATTTATTAACATGGCAAACCCACAATCAACTCTCTCGGTGGCTCCGATTTTAAGAAGCTTAGAACGCTTCATCCTTTTAATGATTTAATTTAAAAATGGAGACGCGAGGCTACGATAATAAACAATCAATGCTACATATTGTCAAAATTCCAAATACTGATAACTTCGCTCAGAATAAAGTATCTATTTTTGATATAGCAAGAACAGTCAGCTCTGTATCTAAATCTTACACATGCATCTATCTGTAATGGTCTCAAGCGAGGAAGCAGAAATGAAATGAAATGGGGTTTAACTTCCTACTGTTCTGCTCCTATACTGGGCTAATGAAGACGGGCATACGCCATACAGAGTGCTATGAGGGAAATTTTGCCCGGGCAGCGGCACTATCGCCTACTCTTATATCGAATTCCAACTGCCAAGGGATCTTTTACGTGCATTCCAATGTATACGCGGGACCTCGGTTTTTTGTCTCATCCGAAGGACTAGACAGCTGTCCTTGTCAGGCCCTCCGTTCTGCACCACTGACAAGAGGAAACCACGTCGGAAAATCCGGATGAAAAGCGAGGAAGCAGTATCTCTATTACTTAATGTCTCGGTCTCTACCTTTAAACCAGGCATAATACGTATTTTGTAGATATGATATGATAATCGATACTGTAGTCTCGATTATCAAACCCTCGCACTCTGCCAGCCAGGGTAAAGAATAGTTGTAATCTTCCTCGACATTGAGATGATAGTGAAATGTCACTGCTTGTTTGTGATTGGCTGACTGGAAATCACCCTCGTGTGACAGTCAATACGAATATGTCGCAGGCTGACTACAATCTGTATTACTTTGACTACAAGAAGATGATTGGTTGTATGCATGGACGTAATAGACACCACGTCATCGTGGAGAGAGAAATGGGGTTTAACGTCCACTCGACACATATATCATTTCGGGACTAACACATGGTTCAATTTTATTTCAATAATTCGCTTGTCACGTACAAATGGGGAATCGAAACCCCGCCAGTTGACTCAATGACAGGCCGTATGATACAGCGCGCACGTGTTAACCATTCGGCCATCCACCCCCACCATCTTACAGGGTCTGAGCTTAACCATGGATTTACAACTACAGTCTTAAATTACTATCCTACTACACTGTGTTTTTTTATAGCTAGTCAGCCACTGGTAATGACATACAAGTCTAATTTTACAGATAGGAGGAAAATGCGAGGTTCAACCTTGTACCCGTTGGTGGGCCCAGAGAAAATCCACGGGGTTGGACTGGCAACCCTACCTATATAACAAACGGAGAATCAATGACAGACCTTATGATACAACGCGCACGAGCTAACCATTCGGTCATTCAAGCCCCTTGCCTCGGAGGACGATAATATGTATTTTTCATTTTTTGTATGCCCTTTCCATGTTTTCATACTCCCATACCTTATATGGAAATCCTGCACACCCTATTGTCCTTCGAACTAGTTTCGGATACACCCATTAATATGAATAATAATAAAAAAAATAGTTCATCCTTATTAGTCAACACACGGGGATTATACGACTACTGTTATATTTCAAACTACGTTTTAATACCCAGATATAGGTTTGGTTTTAAAATAGTGATTTATAAATAATGAAATTACAACTCTGCTTATAAGGTAAAATTAACATGAATGAATAACTAAATTAACAATAACAGGGGTGAGGTTTAAATATTTCCTTATGTAGGTCTAGTGACGTTTCTACTTAGCCTGAAAAGAGACCCCAAAGTACAGAAAATATATTACTTAGTATATGCCAGACTACTAAGTCCCGTGATATCCATTTGCTTTAAGCAGTGAAATTAATGTGTCGTGCAAGAGGCAGAATATGTAACACTTTCCAGGGTACCTGGTGTTACTTCCAGTTTAATAGATCCAGATCATTCATTGCTTAACATCGTGTACCTTACCCGGGCTCAATACTTTCAAAATATTTCCTGTTATTCACACCTGACAAATACCCTATATGATATGTAAGCGAAAATATATTCTCCGTGAATTAATACATCTGCGAATAGGTGCATGGATTAGTCGGACTACTGCAATCAGAGAATTGATCCCACCAGTTTAATGGTAAGTTAGAGTTCTTTTAGTAGTAGTGTACACAAACCTCGTACATAAATAAATAAAATAAATCATACTGAAATTGGGATTAACGTCCTACTCTTCAGTACCAACTGGGTTAATGTGGACAGGCAAAATAAGCTATACATTGTGGTGTGAGGGAAATTGGGCATACTCTTATATCGAATGGTTAGCGTGCGCCCGCTGTATCATAAAGTCTGTCATTGAGTCGACTGGCGTGGTTTCGAATCCCCAGTTGTACGTGACAAGGAGTAGTGTCGCCTGTCCAACCTCGTGGGTTTTCTCCGGGTCGTCCGGTTTCCTCCCACTGCTAAAGACCCCTATGCGCAAGCGAATTATTGAAATAAAATTAAACCATATGTTAGTCCCGAAATGACCTAGTTGTGTCGAGTGGACGTTAAACCCCATTTCTCTCTCTCTCTCTCTCTCTCTCTCTCTCTCTCTCTCACTCTCGCTCTCTCTGTATATCGAATTCCAACCTTCAGTGGTTCTTTTACGTGCACGTCTATGAGTACACTGGACCTCGGTTTTTCGTCCAGTTCGAACGACTATAGGTTGTTTACTGCCATGTCCTCTGTCCTCCACCACTGACAAGGGGGAGCCACGCCGTTTTATCTCGATGAACTTTCTCGGCCAATGCACCGAGATTGAACATGGGATCTCCAAGTTATTAACGTCTTTTGTAGGGAAATAAACACACGAATACACAGTAAAGACATATACAAACAATTAAATTATCATTATTATTGTTTATTAATATACGTGGTTTAATATTGATCATGTTGATTCGCCTATAGACGTAGAATTTATTTGTTATAAAACGTTTGATAGCGATAAAACACCTGGGCCCTTTTTCTCGAAATCTTGACTAAAGATAAAATCCAAATTTTAGTAGATACTTCAATTTTCATTGGCTAATCACTAAAATCAATCTAATATTATCCAATCAAATTACTAAATTTTTGATTTTATCTTTGTTAAAATCGATACATAGTTAGTCATCGAGGAAATCGAAACATAGTCATTGAGAAATAAAGACACGTTATTCATTTCCCCACAAAAAAATATTCTGGGGGTGAATCATGCGAATTCAATTTATTTATAGATTGTAAATAATGAATTCTATAGAATTCTATAGTGATCATTGATCATGATCAGAGCTAAATACGTATAAATAGGTTTTGGGGATTTTATTTTTAAAAGGTATCGTCGAGACTATTGGTACAACGCAGATGTGGTGGGTATACCCTTTAATATCCAAATATCGATAAAAACAATTTAAAATTAATTTAAGCCTTTTTAAAATGCTCCGCTCGGGGCCACGATACATACTATTTTTGAGGTTATTTGTTTTGGGGGCGGGGTGAGGCTCTTATATAAACTGATTCTTGTTCATTGACATTTTCTGTCCCAACAATACATTGATTCTGCCATAGCTTAAAAGTAGCTTATTTACAGAAAATAAAAGTGTGATTGGGGTAATGATAAAATATACGCCCACTTTTCTCACACTCTCACCAGCGATATCTCGATTTACAATTTGCTGTGGTGTGTCTATTTTCCCTACCATCGATCAATAGGTATAGTTTTCAACAAGGTGTAAACATGTGGTGTCGCCTTGTTTAAAACTGACCTATATAATAAGTGTTCGTGTTTACTCTCTTTAAAGACTTGTTCGTTGTAGTCTTGTTTCCCATATTATCCACAAGTTATCTCCGTGTTATCATTACAACTCCTTCGTGTCAAAAATATAACAAACCAAATTGAAGCAGTAAAGGTGAACTTATGGTGTGAAGGGCACACAGTGCATATTTATGCCAGTGACAATATCTGCTTTATTATGACTACTGAATTTCCAATCTCGGCTCCCAGAGAGAACGGTTTCATATAGTGTATTTAAGTGTATTTCACTAAATTTGTCAACTGTTTTTGTAGTGTAGTATGGAAGAATATTATTTCAATATTCATTGTACAAACTGCACATGTCAGCAGTTTAAAATACATATTTTTTTAGGTTTGCAATTTCCATTTCCCCACAATCCTAATGTCACAGTGTTAAAATACAGAATACACTTTTCAATAATAGTTATTTTGCACATTACACTTCTCCATTCTGCATTTTGCTTTATTGACAAATGCATAATAGAACTTAGCATATTAGAACATACCTTTATATGGGATCTACGACGAAGCTCATTTGCATACGGAAAATGTCCGGACTAGGACGGAAATTAATAATTTACACGATCAATCTAAAGGGTCAAGGTCAGTAGAAGGGGGTGGTACTTATATTTACAGACCTTGGAAAACGATCAAAGAAATGAAATAAAATGAGGTTTAGCGTCCTACTGTTCTTCTCTGACTGGACTAATGAAAACGGGCATATGCCATGTAGCGTGCTATGAGGTAAAATTTGCCAGGCCAGGGGCACTATATACGGCCTACTCTTGTATAGAATTCCGACTGCCAAAGGATCTGTCGGGTGTTCGATCCCTGCATTGGCCGAGAAAGATCATCCTGATTTTCCGACGTGGTTTCCCCTTGTCAGTGGTGCAGGAAAGAGGGTCTGACAGGGACAGCTGTCTAGTCCTTCGGATGAGACGAACAAACCGAGGTCCCGTGTATACATTGGAATGCACGTAAAAGATCCCTTGGCAGTTGGAATTCGATATAAGAGGAGGCGATAGTGCCGCTGCCCGGGCAAAATTTCCCTCATAGCACACTGTATGGCGTATGCCCGTCTTCATTAGCCCAGTATAGGAGCAAAACAGTAGGACGTTAAACCCCATTTCATTTCATTTCTTTTAAATGTGCACTAATGTGTACACGGGACCTTGCTTTTTCGTCCCTTTCGAACGATAAACAGTTGTTCTTGTCAGGTCCACTGTCCCGCATCACTGACAAGGGGAAAGAAAAACGACCAAAGTCGGGTGGTACGAAACTTTATTAAATGATGGGGGTGGGGGTATTTAAAGTAAACATACCTGTCTTGATATAAATTCCAGATATCATGTTAAGTATCACTCAAAAGCACGTTCATTTCTCTTTTCAAACATTTAAATAAGTTTCAGGTACATTTATATTTACATACTTTGAAAAAATGCTATGAAATGAAATGGGGTTTAACGTCCTACTGTTCTCCGACTGGGCTAATGAGGGCGGGCATACGTCATACAGTGTGCTAGGAGGAACATTTTTCCCGGGCCGCAGCACTATGGCCTACTCTTGTATCGAATTCCAACTGCCAAGAGTTTTTTCTTTACCTGCACGCCAATGTGTACATGAGACCTCGGTTTAACCTATCCGAACGACTAGCCAGCTGTCCTTGTCAGGCCCTCCTTCCTGCACTACTGAAAAGGTGAAACCACATCGGAAAATCCCGATGAACTTTCTCGGCCAATGCAGGGATCGCACACGCGACCTACAGGCTAGTTAAAAGATTAAAGTTGAAGTGAAGGGCGGTGGGGGGGGGGGGGCTTTATGAAGTAAAAATGTGGGTCTTATCGAAGGCACGGATTAACCATACCAAGCGCATGATTTCACAAGAAGTCATGGTCATCCTTATTGTATGCTATCTTGATTCGCCCTCCTTGCATGCTAAGCCGACTTATTGTACGGTGACTTATTGTATGCCAGCTTTATCTCTGCCCCTTCTACTGACCTTGACTTTGTAGATTGGTTTCTTTGATAAAAGCGAGATAAATCAGTAATCCCGATGTAAATTTGCCTGTGAAGATGAAAAATTAACAATTTGTAGACGGAACGTCACATCCGCGGGAGGCTGTTTGGGCAGTTCGCAAGTATTACATATAAAGTGGTATCCGAGATACGGATCTTCAAAGAGGATTCGAAGGTTGGATATTTTGACCATATGTGGGTTATAGATGAAATGTTCTCTCTTTCAGAAATATCGCATGCAAGTAATTTGAAATCGTTTGAAATATAGATAATATCAAACGTCGAAATAAAAGCATGGCGGAAAATATTGAGAAGGGAAAGAAAACAGGTAAAATAATTAATTTCTTTTACAAATGCATGCCGAAGTAATCTGGTTAAAACACAGATCCTATTTCGTTTCGTTTTTATAGTTCAAAAGTTCGGTTTACTTGTCTTTACTACACTAGGATCTGGAAGAGTTGTTATATAACCCGAATTCTGGATGATGTGAGGGATTAGCCAATGAAACGGTCTGTTACGTCGAGGTTTTGGCGTAAGATGCACGGAATCATGGTAACCCATTAGAAACATCAACGCTGATTGATTAATCAAATTTCTGACGTCATAGGGTCAAAAGCCGCTCGCTTGACATGTGACGCGACCTTCCACTATAACCGATATGATCTTCATGTAATGGTAGGCTATCGAAAGTATAAAAATTAGATTAATTAGATTAATGCAGATTGCAGAATCGGGGACTTGTGGACAATTTTCTTTTATTTTTTGGGGAAGGTGGGTCGGTGGGGGGGTGGGGGTGGGGGCGGAGGACTCCGCTCAATTAACCGTCTGGCTGTTAAGAGTTTATTCACCCTCTACACTGCACCTAATGGAGATATATGGAAATAATACTAATTATCATATGCAGATTCTACACAAATTTATTTGGCATAAAGCAAGTCCAATGTCAATAATGAAATCGAAAGAATTGAGTCATGTTTTGTTATACTACTGTTATTTCGAATTTCACCTGTCGGGAGTTTTCACGTGCATGCCAATATGTACACGGGAGCTCCACCCGAGCTACTATTTGTCCCTTGCCACCCCAACCCACCCCACCCCACCCCGCCCCCTTCCGGGCGTGCACCACTAACAAAGGGGAGCACGCCGAAAAATCACGATAAACATTCACAGCAAACACCCGTATCGATCACGAGTCCTTCCCTTTGCCCCTGCAGACAACCGTGAGACCTGAACTGCAAAACACAAATAAAACAAGTGATGCACTGATGCAGGAATTATTGAACAATTGTATTCTTATTCTTGCGATGTGTACACAATTAAACCAAACGAAACTGAAAAATACATTTAACGTAAATACTCTAGGTCAGAGTTTTGTTAGAGAAAAGGGGAGGGGCGGGGGCAACATGGATACCACCTGTGAAACGTTGTCATCGCTACAAGTCGTTTTGCCTCAGTGTACCAATCGATAAATTAATATTCTTGTCGTGGGGATTCTCCGCCCTCCCCCCACCACACACACAGCTAAAGACTCCTACGTGCAAGCGAATTATTAAAATATAATTGATTCATATGTTAGTCCAGAAATAACATAGTTTGTGTCCAGTGGACCTTAAACCCCATTTATCTTTCTCTCTCGTTTTTCAGTCGATACGCAAAACCGAGGTCGCATGAACGACGTCGATTATAAAGTTATTCAGAGTAATATGTGGTATCTTTGTAAGCAGGTAAGAGGAGACGACATCATAACTAATATGTTCTCAAAGCATATTTTGGACAATGATGATATGGAGAACATTAAAAAAGAGCAGGAGAAGAGTCAGCGCAAAGGGATAGAGACGGCATTAACTTGTGTGATGAACAGCGGTGGCGTCGACGGATTTGGTGTCTTTATCGGTTGCTTACATGATTGCGGCTTTGGACATGTGGCAGATCACTTAGAACGTTATCGACAAGAAAATACTATATGTCAGGAGTCCCCTACCACAACCGCTTCAGATGGTGACACCACAAGGATCAAATTACAAAAATAACTGTGCGTATATTAAAAGAATTTGTTACAAATGGCTTCTAAAATACATTAGTAAACATCTTTGCATTGTCAATTTTATTACAATGTATGTGTTCGTTTATTGTGTCGCATATGCAGCTCAGAGGTTCTCTTGGGGCGATAAGTTCTTCATCTGTAAACATACTCTCAAAGCATGTCAAGTGTCCATGACTATTTATCATATCACAACCTGCATAGGTATTTGCATTTCAATATCCCCTACTTTGTTTGAAGAGTACTATAAGATATAATTTATTATAATTTTTTTGGAGGTGGTCATGTTCCCACCGTTGGTCTAGTTGATATGGAATGACCCAAATTGGTTTGAAAATTAATAAATCGTATTGTTGCTTCTGTTCTTGTGGGCATATCTTGTCGTCAAGCCGACCCGGCCCCCCTGTCACTTCGGGGGTCAATACACCGTACATTTGGTTGTAGCATCTTCGTCTATTAAGAATAAGTTCGCGAGAGAACCATGCAAAATTTAAAAATACCGGCACAGGCTGTGTCGGGCGATTTTGACCAAACTTTGCAGATTTGGTCATTGGATACCCCATATACCCCACATAAAATATGAGGGTCACCAACCTTGTAGTTACGGAGAACCAGCTATGGCCATTTTTTAGTTAAAATTCAAATATTTCCCATAAATTGCCTATTGAATTTTTTAAATTTTTTTAATTATTTTTTATGAATGATCTTGTCTACTACTTCAATATATATGACTATTTTGAGACGTAGTCTTTGCTATATGCTAAAATATATAAATTTCATGATGCTATATATCACCCACTGCGGGGCTGAGGACAATTGTATTTGGAATGGAAGTTGAGGACAAGTAAAACTAATATTTAGTTTTGACAAAATGACTGACACGGATTTTTGGACCTGTCCTTTCTGTAATGTATACTAAGAATTTAGGACAACTAATCGATAAACATGGTTTATAAGACGACATTCTTATACAGATGATACACAGCTGATTGCAAATCACTGTTCCATCCCCAAATTATTCTGACATTAAATTGTGTTCACATGACATTAAAGACAGGATGACAAGAAATCAGAATGTATTTTATTTGGCCCAAATACACATCTGAAAAATACAAGTTCAAATGATGTGGTTGCACGTACGAGATGCAATACTTGTACCACGAGACACTGTGAAGAACTTAGGTGTCCTTGTAGGGTTCAATTTAAGCATGGACAGTCACGTTAGTGAAATTTGTCGAAAATGTTATCTTCAGCCCAGGAACATTGGCCATATAAGACACTTGATTAGCAGGAAGTAGCTGCTACATTTGTATGTTCTTTGAAGGATTGACTACTGTAACAGATTGTTGGTAGAAACATTTAGTGCCAATATTAAAAAGAAAATTAACTTAATTGTATGCGCAGTGAACATGTCTCTGTGCATGGAGTACGTGCGCTGTATAAATGTACATATTATTATTATTCGCCAGGCCGAAATTAGGTTTGTACACCAGCATCCAAGATGACGACTGAAATCAACTGTTTATTTTCCCGTCTTTTCCAGTTATCCGAAAGAAACTACAAGTACAATAGCATATTCCTGAAGCAATGACCCTAGAAATACCTCTCTGGCCATTGCTGGATTGACTTCTGATAATTGAGTTTTTGGGGAAGTGTGTCTACTCTTTCCGTTCAATCAAATCACTCTTAAGTACAGCAACATGACAGCCCTTCGTTTAATCCGGGTATTACCTAAACCTTTGGACAGTGATCTGAGGTATTAAAAACGGTGAAAGCATTGTTCGTCTCCAAACAGTATTGTTTACATTGTAACAGTTTTGATACCTTTTTTATGACGCAATTAGATTTTCTGCAATATTCTGCTATGCACTGGAAAATTGGGCGTAATAGATTTCGTGAATCATGATGTAACGTTATGTAAACATATATATTTGGAGCTCTGTTTAAACCCGAATGATATTGTTACGCAGTTAGGTATTGGTTATTAATCAGACTATTGATCGCTCATAATTTGGAACAGAAATTTGCTTTCATTACGGCAGCGTTGAGTGGGATTGGGTCTAATCAAACGAAACACTGCGAGGAGTATGCTAGCTACTATAGTGACCTTACGCGCATATACTACTTGTTTTTGTCTTTTTGGAATAACTCTTGATTCGTTTGTCAAGTATAGACAGATGTATATGGCCACTATGCTAGTTTTTACGATTTGCTGTTCAAACATTCATCATCATTCTACTAGATCATGAGATTATATTGCCGAATTAATAAAATGTTGAAAATTTTTCTAGAGAGATTAATTATATTTACCAAGAACAGTCCTTTTGGCATTTACAGTAAATTAAGCTTTTCAAATTTCATCGTTTAAAAATTTTAACGGTGTAATTGTGAGCTCAGTTTTCATGATTAGATACTGATCAGACAGATGGATAGATAGATAGATAGATAGATAGATCGATGGATAGTAAAGTATAGCGATATTTTGTAATTTGAAATACTTATTGGTAATAGGTATTTGTAGTTTTGATAATGAAACATTTTTTAAACGTGAATTATTTGATGAAAGTATATAATGCGTTTATATTTATTTCTATTTCTATTATGGCTTAATGGAACTGGAACCCACGTTAATTTGGTTTCCAGCGCCCTGTTACCTTTTCAGTGTGTAAATAAAGCGGGTTTTTGCCCGTCATTTTTCTTGATCTTAATACTATAGATCTTTGCCTTTACCGTCAGCATTCCAAAAAAAAAATTTCTTATACCGCAGTGGTTGAGATATAGATAGAATAAAATGACATACCTAAATTGAGCTGTTTTGGTACCGTTCAGCACTAAGTTCCTATACCAAAAACCTCTCGATGAAAGTCCATCAAATTTTAAGAATGTATACTCACTAACCATATCTGCTACCCTATAAAGTTCCATTAATCTACTCGCCGTAGTTTAGTTGTTTGTACCCCATAATTGAAAAATGGCCTGAAAATGTTTTTTTCGGCTTTTTTGGTCTTAAAATTTAATTTTTTTTCTACACTTTAAAAATGGTTCGATCGATCTAAAATTATGGCAGTGGGGTTTGGATGGGTTACCCATCATACATAAAAAAAATGGTGAAAATCGGTCACCCACCATGTCCCGGTCTTTAGGCCTGAAATGTTATCTAAATTATTAATTAGACATTAATTAACTTATCCAAACCATAATCAACTCTCGATGTCATCGCTAGCCTGCGATATTTACTGGATTAGGATCCGATTTGCTGCTTAACTTTCATTCATGATTAAATCATGAAATGAATAATCGAGAATATACTTTAGTAATATTGATCGAGAATATACCCAAAGTTCAGTACTCGGTTCAGTTTGACTGAAATTTTCAGCAAATTCTCTTTACATTATCTAGTTTTTAACTATTATAGTGAGAACTGCCAGCTCTTTATCTAATCACCCATAATGTATCTTTAAACATACATTATGCAAGAGCTAAATCTGCCTATTGCAGCTCTTTATCTAATCGCCCATAATGTATCTTTAAAGGATTGGGAAGATAAGTGCTGGGTGCCAGATTATACAGACATTTAAAAGTTATAATAGTGAAATATTTTAACCAAGTGTCAAGTGTGCATGTCAGTAATGTTTGCTCAACGTTCTCAGATAGAGAGAGGGAGAGAGAGGCGGGGTTTAATGCCCATTCGACAAACTATGTCATTTCAGGACTAATATATTGTTCAATTTTCTTCCAAACAATTTGCTTGTGCGTAGGGGTTTTTAGCACTGGGAGGACATCATCCATTTTCTTATGTAGAGGGAGCTGCTTTTTGTAGTGAACAGTTGATCATTAAGTTGCCACCCAGGATGATCGGACTTTCTCATTAGGCGATGTAGTTCTGGTACAAATTTCCATTTCTTTGATGATGATCAATCGGGGTGTGGATGTCGACTGGCATTTGAAATTTATATGATGATAAAACTAAATACGTATTAATAGGAAATAAACATCAGTTGCAAGAGATAGAATTGGGTATATATACATGTAGGTCAACTGACCTCAACTCATCAACACATGCATGTATATTGTGGATTATACGACTTGTGCTATATTTCAAACCACGTTCCAATTCCCAGATAAGGTTATTGCTTTTAAGTAAGTGATTAATTACATCTCAGCTTATAAGGTACTTATGGGTCACGGTGGCTAAGTGGGTAAGACGCTGGCTCGCTATAGCCTGGAGGTCGGGTTATCGATCCCTGCATTGGCCGAGAAAGTTCATCCATATATTCCGGCGTGGTTTCCCCTTGTCAGCGATGCAGGACGGATGGCCTGACAAGGACAGCTGTCTGGTCATTCGAATGGGACGCAAAACCGAGGTCCCATGTACACATTGGCGTGCACGTAAAATATGACAGTTGGAATTCGATATAAGAGTAGGCCGGGCAAAATCCCTCATAGCACACTGTATGGCGTATACTCGTCTTCATTAGCCCATGTTCGGAGCAGAACAGTAGGGCGTTAAACCCCATTTCATTTCTGCTTATAAGGTAAAATTAACATGAATGAATAACTAAATTAACAATAACAGGGTCAGGTTTAAATATTTCCTTATGCAGTGACGTTTCTACGGAGCCCGGTAAGGGACACAAAATCAAAATATATTACATTGTGCATGCCAAACAATAACTAGACCCGCGATATTCATAATAAATTACTTTAAGCACTGAAATGTGTCGTGCAAGAGGCAGAATATGTAATACTTTCCAGGGTACTTGGTATTATTTCCAGTTACATAGCTCAAGACCTTTGCTTAAAGGAGCTAAATCGCTAATATTTTGGGCATAGAAATTGGCACAAATGGATCGCAACACATATAATAATGTAATATGAATTTATATAAACTGTTTTACATTCAATCGTTTCCGTTTTACTGTGAAGTGTCATCAGTTATGTTCGGCGAAATACGCCAGAAGTCTCAACCGAAAGAAAATTTCTAGCGTCTGGTTATTCCAGTCAACACCGATAGTATATATTGCGTATGCTCTTCAAATAAGAATATGGCATCACCGTTTGACATGACTTGTGGAATATGTATATCCTCATTCTTTGAGCACCTTGTTACAAATGGCGATGAAACGCATTATGGTACACGATTCGTGTACGAATGGTAAAATATTTATTTTGTCTTAAATATTGGATATCAGAAGCCCATCTTTTCCAGGTAAGACCACAAGACCAATGCTGATTTAAATTGCGAAACAAAATCGTGTTTTCAATGTCGAAGATTTTGGATGATATTGAGTTACGGACTTAGCTACTTTAAAATCGTGTACCTAACCGGGCTCCGTATTAATATTTCCCGTTATCTATTATTAGCACTCGACACTGTCTAGCTGATGTAGGCCAAGCTGTGGTTACGTAGAAAATATATTCTCCGTGAATTGATATATCTGCGAATCGTGTTTGTAACTAAATTTATTCTAGGAAAACACTACTTACTCGGTCTATAGGGATTATTCAGAGTTATTGTACGTTTAATGAATATAGATCAGAGAATAGGGTCCGCCAGTTTTATGGTAAGTTGGAGTTAATTTAGTAGTAGCATACTAGGGATTAATGTCCGCTTCCACCTAGAGCGATATTGCACAGGACATGTGTCGAAAATATAAACAACCGGTAATGGGGTCAGGCAGCGTGTTGGGGGGGGGGGGGGGGGCGAGATCAGGAATACTTTTAACACCAACATCTTACATATGAATTAGTAGGTAGATAAATGAAATGAAATTGGGTTTAACGTCCTACTTTTCGGCACATACAGTGTGCTATGTTCGTGGGACATTTTGATAGGACAGTGGCACTTTGGTATACTCTCATAACGAATCCCAAATGTGTACATTGGTCGTCGGGGTTTTGTCCCATTCGAACGACTATGCGTTGTCCCTTGCTGTCCATTGCTAGGCCGTCTGTTCTGCAACACCGGGGGTGGGAACCACATGCTATATTCCCGATGAACTTTCTCGGCCAACACCGGATCGAATATGCTGAACCCCATGCAGGTTAAAGAGCCAGCGTCTTACTCACTGGGCCACTGCGGCTCCCGTAAATAAATACATGGATACACAATACACTGTTGTTTATTAGCATACGTGGTTTAATCATTTGATCATTTGGATTCGTCTTATTTATTCGTAATAAAACACTAATACAAGGACACACTAGGAAATCGATACAGGTAGCCGACAAAGAAATATATTTCGATTCAGCCATAGTAATTTTGTTTACAGGAAATGAAAATGTGAACGGGGTAATGATCTAATACACGCCCACTTCACCAAGGATATCTCGATTAACACTTTGACTATTATTATTTTACTGATAATAAACGGGTATTCCCTATATGCTATATTTAGTAACCAAATACGTTTTAAATTTACGGCTTACTTTTTGCCTTTTTACTATTTGTAACAAAGACATAGAACACAATTAGTATTAAAATATATTGGACTCGAGCTAGGTAAGAAATTTAATGCATAACTTGTTCTGATAATAATATTGGACTCGAACTAGCATAAAGAAAGTTTGCTTTTTTAAACATGTTATTATCAAACACGCAGATAATATGGGCTAGTGTTCGACCGTTACTAGAGAGAGAGAGCGAAATGACGTTTAACGTCCACTCGACACAAACTAGGTCATTTCGGGACTAACATATGGTTTATTTCGATAATTCGCTTGCGCTTAGGGGTCTTTTTTAATAGCAGTGGGAGGAAACCTGAGGACCCGGAGAAAACCCAGGAGGTTGGACAATCGACCCTAGTGTCACGTACAACCGGGGAATCATTGAAATCACTTTAGTTGACTCAATGACAGACCTTATGATACAATGCACACGCGCTAACCATTCGGCCATGCACCCCCGATCGTTACTAGAGGTTCCAGGTATGACTGTGCAATGTTTACATAAGACTCGTTTCTTTGATAATACAGTAGTTTGTTTTCCATTATGTTTATAAACCAGTAATTTGTTTTCCCGGTGTAAGTTTTAGTGTGAAGATGGAAAATTAACAATTTGTACACGGAACTGAATGTTAACGACACGTCACATCCGCGGCAGATTATTTGGCAGCTTCGCGGGTATTATATAAGGTGGGGTCTGAGATTTGGAGGAGGGATATCAATTATAATTTACATGTTATAGATGAAATGTTCTCTCTTTCAGATAAAGGCTATCCTATACCAGTAACTTAGACACTTTTGCGATAGAGATTATAAACATCTAAAAATAGTATCATGGCAACAGGTAAAATAACATTTTTAAAAAAAAAATGCACACAGAAGTCACAGTGCAGACTGCGCTTTCAGGAGCTTGGTGTCAAAATTGTTTCGTGACTTCGACATAACCCCTCTCCCATCCCGTAGGTCGTTAAATAGAGAATCTCCTACTCGTCTTTTTTGATATCAAAAAATATCAACACAAGTTGATAAAGTAACAAAAAACGAGACTATGCCGATTTTTTTTTTACTTTATCAACGAGTTGACCCAGTGTTTCCATCAAGTTCAATTGAATAACAATAGTTCATTTTTAATATAAAAAAAAGTTACTTTTAATAAGAAATGGACTGTTCTTTGAAAATAAAAAAAGTAGTTCCTTTTTAACTGACCAATCAAATTCATGTAAAGAGATATCTCCTAAGGAGATATCGCAGTAGATTATGAAATATATCACACAAGCGATATCTACTGTAGAATGTATTATTGGGTGATAAAACACCTTAATATGTTAGTCGATTTATACTGTACATGTCCCTTCTCTTTCGTTTAGTTACTTTAATTATCAAAATCTCTGGGACAGGGGTGCCCTGCCCCATTTCCATAGATCCACTCTTTAAAACATAATATTAAAATAAACAAGTATTATATATTAAATAAGATATTAATTAAAACCAAAATGAAAATGGCACAAAGACGCATAATAGTCACTATGTTTAAAAACATCTCCTCCATATCCATGTACTGAGGGAAATCATATGTAAGTGTGAAAAATCTAATCCGTCAGAAACACGATATGATAATTTGACTGGTGAATCCTGCTATAAATTTATACACAGTGTTTAAGATCATGAGTCGAAGAATCCTATTGATTTTCAGCGATTTCCAATAATTACTGCCAGAGTTATGGCCCTTCATCACTTTGAAAAATCTTGTGGACGCTTTAGAGGCTAAAGTAATATCTGGTTGATATTAAATTGATACACAGTGTTTAAGGTCTTGAGACGAACAAGTATATTGATTTTCAATGGATCTTTATGACTTGAACAGCTAAATCCATGATGTTAAAAGTTTCGTATACTAAACGTTAGCATAGGGCAGAACTTTATAAAAACCAAACAAATTCTAATGGTTTTCTGATAATTATTTAATGAGTTGTTACTCTTAATCAGATTTTAATGTATTATAAATGTTTCATTACCGAAAAATTAAAAATATGCGACAAGTCCTGTTGACTGCCCGGACGATATAGCTGCTGTGGGCGTATGTTTCGTTGCCTGGCAACCTATCTTTTTTTATCAAGTGGACGTTAAACCCCATTTCTCTCTATCTATATCTATCTCGTTCTTGTTTTTCAGCCGATGAACTTAATCGGGGTCGCATGAATAACATCGACCATTATGTTTTGCAGAGTAATATGCCGTATCTTTGCGAGCAGATAAGAGGCGACGTGGTTATCATTAATATGTTTTCAAAGCATATTTTTAACCGTGATGATATGGATATGATTGAAAAGAAGCAGGAGATCAGTCCGCGCCAAGGGATAAAGGAAGCGTTAAAATGTTTGATGGAAAGCGGTGGTGTCAATGCATTTGATTCCTTTATCGATTGCTTACATACATCTGGCTTTACGCATGTGGCAGAAAAGTTAAAACTTGATCGAAAAGAAAGAACAGACGCGATGAATGTGGAAGCAAAACTACCTAATCCCGAAACCACAGCCCCTACATATGACTCATAATACAAAAATAACTGTTCGTGTATTACAATAGATTGTTACAAATGGCTTGAAAACGTAATGAATTATGTTTCGTGATCTCAACTAATTAGTGAACATTAACCTCTTTGAATAGACTCAAAAATGATCAATTTTTATCAATCTTATGAATTCGTTTATTGCACTCGCCATTACCTATCTATCCATCTGAAGACTCCATCGACAACTGTAATTTTCCGAATTGTTTAAAGATTGCGTTACTGTACCTAAAATAATAGAATGCGACAAACTTTGTGTACTGAATGAGTGCCGTGATCGTATATTTTATTGCCAGGCAACCTGTATTATGACATGAAACATTGGGGTGAGACCTGCTTTCTTCTTCCGTAACGTCTGGTGCCATTTTAACGCGTCAATGGGGGGCCCCGCGAGCAAAAGGCCTCATGCTAATGTAACTTTTATGTTTTATACACTGATTTTGTTGGAAGCACCAATACAATTATATGTCTATTCAGGGCAAATGTTCCAAGGATCCCCCGCATTTGCATACTGCTTTGTTCAGTGCCTGCGCTCAGTTGATTTTTTATGATTAAAGAAATTTTAAAATACAAATATTTTACTTTCAACACTTTATCTAAATAACTATATTGAACCAACTTATTTGTAAAATCGCTATGCTTATTTCCCCATTTGATCGGAAAACGCTAGATCTTGGAAAAATCATAATTCTACCCTTCCTACATGTTTCTCTTTGAATATTTCTGGTATACACTTAGTTAATTTGCCGCACCCCGAGAAGTGTCGCTCTGGGCATATGCCCCCCTCATTCCCTCCGATATGTGAGGGCCCTGATGTGAATGGCTGTGTAGGTAGGGACCCCAATGCACTGCTTTGCCCGGGGCCTGTAATCGAATGCTGAATTAACAATCCGAGTACTTAACGAATTTTTGTGGAGGTTTCTTTTTTAGAATTCTACAAATTGATATTAGAATTTATAAACTTACATCTTTAGTTTGCGAGAGAACTCTAATATAGAAATCGTGCGCTTGGTAGTCCCCTCCCCCGGCCACCTGGAAATTCTATACTAATATTTGTGACTGTCGTTTGTCTATCTGGTTGTCTGTCTGTTCGGGGTTGGCGGCTACACTAGGTCTGCCCCGAGTCTGAAATTTGGGGCATAGGCGTAGCTCGGACCGGGGAGTAACATAGGCCAGGTGGCGTTAGTCTACGACTTCCGGTTTCGGGGTTACGACCTCCGAGCGAAGCCGGGCATTCTTCTAGTGTATATATAATTTTGATTTGATCTATTTTGCAATAAAATTGTAATTTTTATTATGTGAGATATCTAAAGATAAAATATATTGTTTAGATGATATAACAATGAAGTTTGTATGGCAGCCGTGGGTCGCCAAAGTGATTCATGTACATTGTTCGGGTAGCTAACAATTTCCATAAAAAAAATTTTTTAAACGTGTAACCCATGAAGTATTGATAAATTAATTTGTAAATATCAACTTAAAGATACATTATGTACGAGCTCAATCTGCCCATTACAGGTCTTTCTGTTGGCTTAAAATGTTGTATAAATTATTATTTAGACCTTTATTCACATGACAAGCCCATAATCAACTCTCTAGGGCATTGGATGGTTATGATTTTGAATGGATTGATACACCTTTTAATAATTTGTATTAAAAATGGATAGTCGATACAATAGATTTATTATCGTTGCAATGGTTCATCAAATTTGAAATATTCAAAATATACATTTTTCATTGTCTATTTTTGAACTATTATAGCAAGAACGGACTTTATCTATATCTTGCATAATGCATCTTTAATGTCTCATCTGGATTCATTGATTGGTCTCAATTAAACGGTATCATTAAATATAGTCATTATCGCAAATCACAGTGTAATGCCTTATATTATTCAGTGTGTAAAATAGGTTTGTATTCGCCCCCAGATCTCTCTTTAAAACATGTCCCTGTGCCCTACGACCACCCAGCTCAAAAAGATCAACCGCCCGAAACCTCATTTAAGGAAATCCACGCGGGATTTTTTAAAAATTCCCTTTCAATGTATAGACTAGTGAGATATTAAACCCCATTTCATTTCAATTTTGAGACCGTATTTAATCTCTTAATAGCTTAATTAGTCACCCGGTAATGCCAAGGGTCATTGCAGATTTCATCATAGCTCGCAAGATGTAACATGATTGTTGACGAGATTGTGGGTTAGGGTTAGCCCTAGCCCAAATTCTTGTAACCATAACCCTAACATCTCGTGACCTATAGCGAAATCGGCAATGACTTGGCTTTCAGCCTTAATTGCATAGCAAGGGTAAAAAATCGCCATCTGCCTAACATCCAGAATTACTAAATACTTCACCAAAATGCACCATTTAAAAATTCCTTGTAAAGACACGTTTTATTTTACATTTACGTGTATTTTAAAATTAACATCAGTTCAACCGTTTGGTGTTCTACAGCAGACAGACATACTTTTATTGAAGTATTTTGTCGTTTGTTATGCTCAATTGTCTTTTTTACTATTTCATTTGGAATTTAGATTATTTGGCGTGAAAATATTTTTTTAATAAAGTTGTTTGAAAATTTCTAGATAGAATTGTTGTTTCTGTTTTTGTGAGCGTGTCTTGTCGTCAACCCGGTCCGGTCCGATCCGATCCGTCACCTGCTAATTGGGTTGTTAACATCCGAGTCAAGCTGTGTTTTTAAATTTGAATAAAACTGTGAATGTGGCTGTATTGTGTTAACGATAAACAGCTGGTGTCTCCTGGTGAATGTAGGGGATAACTTCTTTGAGCTAAGTGGGTAAGACGCTGGCTCGCTAGCCTGGAGGTCGGGTGTTCGATCCCTGCATTGACCGAGAAGGTTCATTCAGATTTTCCGGCGTGGTTTCCCCTTGTCAGTGATGCAGGATGGAGGGCCTGACAAGGACAGCTGTCTAGTCGTTCGGATGGGACGAAAAACCGAGGTCCCGTGTACACATTGGCGTGCACGTAAAAGACCTTTGGCAGTTGGAATTGGATATAAGAGTAGGCCGTAGCGCCGCTGCCCGGGCAAAATTTCCCTCATAGCACACTGTATGGCGTATGCTCGTCTTCATTAGCCCAGGTTAGGAGCAGAACAGTGGGACGTTAAACCCCATTTCATTTCATTTCATTAACTTCGGTGGTCATAGAATTGTAGTGAACTGGATCTCTGGATAGAGCATGATTATTGTGGTAGAGTGGGCCCGGCTCTATCCATTAGTTCCGTGGAGGGTTGACTACTGTAGAGGTGTGGGAGTAGCCAACCAAGCACAGCTGGCTCAGAAAGACTAACCCCAGATTAATCAGCAACTCTCTGTATTGTATTGTGTACACGGCCAACTCCGTCTTGCGATTGTAGGGCTATCGAATCCCGCTCCTAGCAACGACTCGGAAAATGGCTCTCTCCTCAGAGCTCTAATCTTAAAGGGCTAATCCCGATAATTTTTTGGAGAATAAAACTGTTTAATTTTGTTTTAAAATCCCTTAAAATCCTCTACCTAAGGGCCGAGCAACTAACTCAATATTTGTGATAAGTTTTCAAATAACTGAAACCCGTCAGTCTCCATCTGGAAATGGAGACTGGTGTCCCAAGCTGTATTATGCGGTGTCTAGATAAAACCAGACATTTTTTGTATAAAAATAATGTGTAGGTGAAATTTACCTTTCATTATCAAGTACAGCATTTGGGTCATTCACTGTATAGACCTCTCAATGAACGTGAATCGATTATCAGGTCTCCCAAAGAAAAAATTGACCCGAAATCTTAAAAGGGTTACGTGTCCGGATAAGCAGTTTTGACGGTCACGTCCAAACGACTTAATATTTTGAGCAGAAATTTTGAGATACGGTCAATACACCATTCCTCTATATTTTGGTGTTTAAATTTCATACATACTCAGGCTTTTATTTTTGAGACTCTGTTCAAATAAGGGATAGTCCCTTTAACGAACGCTCTGACTAACGTTATCTTATCATGACCATATCATACAATTATTAATTAGGGTAAAGTGTGTGATTATTAGGTTACATCATGTGAGTGAGTGAGTGAGACGTTAGCTCGCTAACCTGGGTCCTGTTTCACGAAATTTTAACTAAGATAAAATCCAAACATTAGTAGATACTTTAATTTCGATTGGCTAAGCACTATAATCAGTCTAATATTATCCAATCAAATTACTAAAATTTGAATTTTATCTTAGTTAAAATTTCGTGAAACAGGCCCCGGGTTTAAATATTTCCTTGTGCGAGACCTTTCTACGGAGCCCGGTAAGGGACAGAAAATATATTACATTGTGCATGTCAAACAATAACTAGACCCGCGATATCCATAATAAATTGCTTTAAGCAGTGAAATGTGTCGTGCAAGATGCAGAATGTGTAATACTTTCCAGGGTACCTGGTATTACTTCCAGTTGAATAGCTCAAGACCTTTGCTTAAAATCGTGTACCTAACCGGGCTCCATATTAATATTTCCCGTTAACTATTATTAGCACTCGACAGTGAATTGATATATCTGCGAATCGGTGTTTGTAACTAAATCTTTTCTTGGAAAACACTACTTTCTCTGTCTATAGGGATTATTCAGATTTATTGTACATTTAATAGATCAGAGAATAGGGTCCGCCAGTTTTATGGTAAGTTGGAGTTAATTTAGTAGTAGTATACTAGGGATTAATGTCCGCTTCCACCTAGAGCGATATTGCACAGGACATGTGTCGAAAATATAAACAACTGGTAATGGGGTCGGGCAGCGCGAGATCATGAATACTTTTAACACCAACATCTTACATATGAATTAGTAGGTAGATAAATGAAATGTAATGGGGTTTAACGTCCTACTTTTCTGCACATACAGTGTGCTATGTGGGACATTTTGATAGGACAGTGCACTCCGGTATACTGAATACTCGCATAACGAATTCCAAATTTAAAGGGTTCTTTTACGTGCACGCCCATGTGTACGTTGGTCTTCGGTTGTTTGTCCCATTCGAACGACTATGCGTTGTCCCTTGCTAGGCCGTCTGTCCCGTAACACCGACGAGGGGAACCACGTCGTACATTCCCGATGAACTTTCTCGGCCAACACCGGGATCGAACATGCTGGACCCCATCTTAAAGAGCCAGCGTCTTACTCACTTAGCCACTGCGGCTCCCGTAAATAAATGCATGGATACGTAGCAAAGATACACAATATACATTGTTGTTTATTAACACCGTTGTTTAATCGTTTGATCATTTGGATTCGCCTATGGAAGTAGAATTTATTCGTTATAAAACACGTGACAACGATGACACACTAGGAAATCGATACAGTTAACAACAAAGAAATAAATGCGCCTTTCCCATTTTCCCGCAAAAATGATTCTGTTCAAGAATATTATTTGGGTGATTCCAATTCATTTTACTTATAGATTGTAGAATTTTGTAGTGCATCATGATCAGAGCTAAATTTAAACACATTTTTTATTATCACTGGTTTTTTTTAAAATACATACTAGTTGAGGTTATTTGTGGTTTTTTTTTTCTTTAGCTCTTTTTTTTTTGGGGGGGGGGGGGTATAAAATAAGTCTTGATCTTTGACATTATATTTACGATCAAAATAATGATTCAACCATTCAGCTTATACCCCCATATGAGCAGAAAAGTAGGACGTTTAACCCCATTTTATTTCGATTCTGTCATAGTTTTTTGTTTTACAGGAAATGAAAATGTGAACGGGGTAATGATCAAATACACGCCCACTTTTCTCATAACTTCACCAACGATATATCGATTAACGCTTTGACTTTTATTATTTTACTGATGATAAACGGGTATTCCATATATGCTATATTTAGTAATGAAATTCCAATTCTATTTTATCAACGTTTTAAATTTAAGGCTTACTTTTTGCCATTTTACTATTTGTAAAAAAGCCATAGAACACAATTTGTATTAAATATTGGACTCGAGCTAGGTAAGAAGTTTAATGTATAACTTGTTCTGATAATAATATCGGACTCGAACCAGCATAAAGAAGGTTTGCGTTTTAAAACTTGTTATTATCAAACACGCAGATAATAGTGTTCGACCGTTACGAGAGAGAGAGAGAGAGAGAGAGAGAGAGAGAGACGTTCACTCGACACAAACTAGGTCATTTCGGCACTAACATAATGGTTTATTTCGATACTTCGCTTGCGCGTATAGAGTCTTTAGCAGTGGGAGGAAACCCACGAGGTTGGACAGGCGACTCTACTCCTTGTCATGTACAACCGAGGAATCCTCGAAACCGCGTCAGTTGACTCAATGACAGACCTTATGATACAACGCGCACGCGAAAAGCACTCGCCCATGATCGTTACTAGAGGTTCTTGGTATAACGACGGTGCAATGTTTACACAAGACTCGTTTCTTTGATAATACAGTAGTTTGTTTTCCATTATGTTTATAAACCAGTATTTCGTTTTCTCGATGTAAGTTTCAGTGGAAAGATGAAAAATTAACAATTTGTACACGGAACTGAATGTTAAAGACACGTCCAGGCCCGTAACTAAGATGGGGGGGGGGGGCCTGCAAAAAGTTCAGCCCCCCCCCCCCCCCGTGAAAAAATTTACGACCATAAAAAAATAGATATACATTGTCCGTCAATATTACAGCACCCCTGAGAACACTTCCCGCCCCCCTTGTTGCTCTGAGCTAGTTACGGCCCTAGACACGTCACATCCGCGGCAGATTATTTGGCAGCTTCGCGGGTATTATATACTCTTCAAAAGTAGGGGATATTGAAATGCAAATACCTATGCAGGTTGTGATATGATAAATATTCATGGACACTTGACATGCTTTGAGAGTATGTTCACAGATGAAGAACTTATCGCCCCAACAGAACCACTGGGCTGCACATGCGACACGCAATAGCGCCATACACGTGAGAGGGACCCATTGTCAAATTTGACACTTCAAGGAAGGGTTGATGAAAACTGCTGGTTTATCTATCCATGTTTGATTTCCTATCGGTTCTTGCATAAGATGTACTGTTTAGCGTATCTTTGCTTTAGTGTGTTACGTTTAATTTGATCGGGAGACGTGTACGTCGACGTCAACGTCAACCGACAACACTGCAAGAATTGGCCGTGACACTGCAAGAGGAGTGGTCAGATTGCCCCAATTCGTGATTAGACGGTTGATTAGGTGCATGCCACGACGAATTGCTGAATGTCTGAGGATTGGTGGAGCAATTACTCATTATTAAGACAAAAATCAAAAACGTCCATTTTCACTTTTGACGGCGTATCTCTTTGCGAGTGAAATGGGGCCGTCAGATAATTATTATAGATGAAATGTTCTCTCTTTCAGATACAGGCTATCCTATACAAGTAATTTGGACATTTTTGAGATAAAGATTATAAACATCTAAATTGTATCATGGCAACAGGTAAGATAATTAAGTTTCTTTAAAATTGCAGACAAAAGTGCAGATTGCGGATTCAGAAACTTGTTGTCAAAATTGTTTTGTTACTTCGCCATACCCCCCCCCCCCCCAGTAGGTAACGGTCAAAAAGCGCCCATAAATATTCATTCGGACTTCTTATAAATATAGTACATACTTATATAATATGTCCTCACCCATTTGTTTAGTTATTTTAATTATTAAGCTCTTTGGGGTTGGGGTGTATGGATCTGCTCTTTAAAAAAATAATATTAAAATGTATATTGAATTGGTAATTAATTCAAATGAAGAATGAAAATGTCACAAAGGCGCATAATTATCACTATTTGAACATCCCCGTCATACCCATTTACTTAGGAAATCATATGTAGGTGTGAAACATCTAATCCGTCAGAAACACGATATGATAATTTGACTGGTGAACCCTTCCATAATTTTTCGAAACGAAATTTTACGCCCCCCTCCCTCCCCAACACGGATGGTCCTCAGCGTTTCGTCCAATCCGAATGGCCAGGTGAGTTTTCCCTTGCATGGGCCTGCATCGTGCACTACTCACAAACGAAACTAGTCTGGGAAATCTCATTGAAACGTTGCCCGAATGTCAACAGGATGCCAACGATACTTTGTCCAGGTCCCCCGGTTCCTCCCACTGCTAAAAACCAATAATTGAGAATCCTATGTTAGTCCAGAAATCGCCTAGCTTGTATCAAGTAGACAATAAACCTCATTTCTCCCTTGTCTTTTCAGACGATGAATGTAACCGGGGGAAAATGAAGGATATAGATTATTATGTTATTCAGGATAATATGACGTATCTTTGTAAGGAGTTAAGAGGAAAAGATATTGCCGATTTCATGTTTGCAAAGCATATTATAGACCGTGATGATATGGATAAGATTGAAAAGGAGCAGAAGAAAGGGCGGCCTGAAGGGGTGAGGGCGGTATTGAAATGTTTGATGGAAACTGGTGGTGTCAACGCATTTCATGCCTTTATCTATTGCTTAAATAATTCTGGCTTTAAACATGTCGCAGAGAAGTTGGAACTTGATCGAAAGGGAAGAATCGACGCGATAAATCAGCCGGAACTACCAGATCCCGAAACCACCACCCCTTCAATAATACAAAAATAATTGTTCGTGAAGTAAACTGGATTGTTATAAATGGCTGTAAAAAAATCTTATATTTACTAAAAATAGTGATAACAGATATCAGTTTCACTGTAACCCAGGTATCATTTAATCTTGTGTATCTAGCACTAATTTCTTTCAGATCTTTGTTTAAAAATTTGTAAAAACTGTTTAAAATCACCATAAATCGTTTAATTTGTACTTCTGTCCAGTTTAAAGCTGACCATTCAATTTTGATAATGAGTGTCCAATTTACAAGTGTTTAATTTCTTGATCACCGACAATAGGGAAAATAGATAAGACTCATGATCACATATGGAATTGTCTATTTTATTTTCTGATCAGTAGTGGAATACCGCGTTTTATCAGTGAAATAAAAGTGTTATTCCACTGGCTAGTTGTTTTTACCTAAAATGATTGTAAAATCATAAAATAAATAGAACATTTGTCGTTTTGTCGTGAATAACATATTTTATTTCATCTCTAAGCAAGAAAACGTTTATATTTTCACTCATGCTACGCATTCGTGAAAATATAAGTTTTCTTGCTTCTCGATGAAATAAAATATGTTATTCACTCTAAAACGACAAATATCCTCTATTTATCACGTCATGGTATGATTACTGACACGTCCGTGTTCCTTTGAAGTCATGCGGAGCTTGTACACAGATCATATTATGTAGTTTGTAAATGACACATGGGATTAATTACATGTTTAATTAGATCATAGTTGGGTTAACAGAATCTGAATAATAGTTCGTATTTTGTAATTAAGCACAGAAATTAAGCACACACTTTGTCACAAATGTCTCAACTTGATTAATTGATTGGCCTCAATTAAACGGTATCATTAAATATAATCATTATCAGTAGTTGCCTTATATTATTCGAGTGTGTAAAATAGGTTGTATACGTTTCTAGATCCTTTTTAAACAGGTTCCCTGTCTCCTACGACCACCTAGCTCAAAGAAATCCCTACCAGAAACCTCATTTAAGGAAATCCGCGCGGGAAAATCCTCCTCTCAGCCTGTATATCTTTTTTTTAAAATTCCCTTTCAATTTATAGACCAGTAGGTCATTAAACCTCATTTCATTTCAAATTAGAGACCGTATTTAATCTCTTAAGTATAGCTTAGTTACCCGTATTGCCAATGGCCATTGCATTTGCAGATTTCATCATAGCTCGCAATTAGATGTAACGTGATTGTGGGTTCGGTTTAGCCCTAGCCCAAATTTTTGTAACCATAACCCTAACATCTCGTGACCTATGGCGAAATCTGCAATGACTTGGCTTTCAGCCTTAATTGCATAGCAAGGGTGAAAAATCGCAATGTCTAACATCCAGAATTAATACTGCACCAAAAAGCACCATTTAAAAATTCCCTTTGTATTTACTTTTACTGAAGTCTTTTGTCGTTTGTTATGCTCAATTGTCTTTTTGACTATTTCATTTGGAATTTAGATTATTTGGCGTGAAAATATTATTTTAATAAAGTTGTTTGAAATTTATAAATAGAATTGTTGCTTCTGTTTTTGTGAACGTGTCTTGTCGTCAACCCGGTCCGGTCCGATCGGTCACCTGCTTGGGTTGTTAACATCCGGGTCAAGCTGGGTTTTTTTTTTTAATTTTAATAAAACTGTGAATGTGATTGTATTGTGTTAACGATAAACAGCTGGTGTTTCCTGCTGAATATAGGGGCAAACGTCTTTGGGAAATGTACAGAGCCGTAACTAGCTCTGAGCAACGAGGGGACGGGAAGTGTTCTCGGGGGGTGCTGTAAATATTGACGGACAATGTATATCTATTTTTTTTATGGTCGAAAATTTTTTCCCAGGGGGGTGGGGGGGATGTGCGAAACTTTTTGCAGGGGGGGGGGCTTTCCCTCCCTAGTTACGGGCCTGGGAATGTACATTCCACGGTGTGTGTGTGTGGGGGGGGGGGGATCTGACTAACGTTATCTTATGGCCATATCATGCAATTATTAATTAGGGTCAAGTATGTGATTATTAGGGTACATCATGTGATATTTCAGTCAAATATGGTATACATAAAACAAAGCATACTCAATTTGCATAATTTATTCATTGTATTATAATAATTTGATAAAACTATTATGAATTTTATAAATGATTTATCTAATGATTGACAGGTGGATCCATTGATTGGTTATAAATAATCATCCTTAAAGTTATGCTCCCAAAAATCTTCCAAACCCGAAATAAAATCAACAAGAACAATAACATCCTAAATATGTGTGTAGATCTAACAATTAATTAAAATTATGTAACCTAGATTATGACACTTAATTCAATAAACAGTCATAACGGAAGTTCAGTAATGCCTTCAACTCACCCATGTGGTAACTTCTTTATCCGTTAATGAGGTCATTTTGGCACTGACTGTTAGAGATATTGGGTTTACCGCCCACTCAACACAAAGGTCATTTCGGGACTAACATATGGTTCAATTTTATTTCAATAATTCGCTTGAGCGTAGGGGTCTTTAGCAGTTGGAGGAAACCAGAGAACCTGGAGATAATCCACGAGGTTGGTCAGGCGACCCTACTCCTTGTCACGTACAACCAGGGAATCGAAACCACGCCAGTTGACTCAATGACAGACCTTATGATTCAGCGCGCACGTGCTAACCATTCGGCCATGCAACCCCACCACTGACTGTTAGTACTTGAATTTAACAAAGCCTTTAAAGGCTGTTGTCCATTATGTAAATTATTCTATACTAGGTGAATCTTTGTCTGTGGCACATTGCTGAGGTTGAACTTTTAAGAGTAGGAAATGGGTCCTATCTTTCAACAGCTAGATTTTGATCTACCCAAAAATCAATGATTATAATACTCTCAGTAATCATCACTATGTGGCTAATGATTTAAGCCTTTGCCACTTGGTCCCGTGTTTTTATATTCTGGAGCCACGTGAGTAAGACGTTGGCTCGCTAACCTGGAGGTACTGTGTTCGATCCCTGTGGTGGTCGAGACAGTTCATCTGGATTTTCTGGCATAGTTCCTCTTTGTCAGTGGTACAGTACTGACAGCCTGGCAAGGATCAACATATAGTCCTTCAGATGGGACGAAAAAAACGAGGTTCCATGTCCACATTGGCATGCACGCTAAAGATCCCTTGGCTGTTGGATTTCAATATAACAGTTGGCCATAGTGCCACTGTCCAGGCAAAATGTCCCTCATAGCAGACTGTATGGTGTATGCCTGTCTTCATTAGCCCAGTAGGATGTTAAACCCCATTTCATTTCATTTTTAGCACTTGGACAATCTGAAACGACTCTACTCCGTCACAGTGAGCTACATCTTTTTCTTTGTAGTCAATATTTACCTGTAGCAAGGCTAAAAGGTAAAGCATTAGAAAGACAATAAATCAATGGAACAAAAATATTTAATTAATTAATATACAAACTGATCAAATCAATTATACACTGATCAATAACAAACTGAGAAAGCCAATTAATCAAATGATTGAATTATCAGTCACTCAAATCAATAAATTAAATCAATTAATAACCTATTAATAAACAGTCATGGTATATACAGAACTTCTGGATTACTGATACCACCCCCTGTGGAGAAACTTGAATAAGGCTGCCTTAGATTCCAATGTGGTGGCCAATAATCTATGGCCCAAGTGGTACACTGCATCTTCCTCGTATCCCAATGCATGATCTAATATAAAAAAATAACTATTTTGACTCCGTAAAACAAAATCAAAACACTCAAGAAGGTATATAATGTTTCTATCTCTGTTAGCTTGTTTTCTTAATTTAATCTTTGGAGTTGTATGGCACATTTGAAGTTTTACATATAATATTTGGCACATGGAAAATTGGCCACCCCAGCTAGCAACAAACAATATCTAAGCAAATGAAAAAAAACCTGGCCTTTCACAATATGGATCATAATTTGGTTTTATAATTAATTATACTGTGATTTAAATTTCAAAACTTTACAAAAATAGAAAATAACTATTATATAAAAATAATTATTAGGCTACACATATTGAAATTTTAGCCTAATTCATGTAAATAAATGTGAAAGTAATAATTTCTATTAGAAATTTGTACATATACATAGCATACAATAAAAGTATTTAAAGTACCAGCAGAAAAAACTAATATCAAATACTGCTACAATGAGAAGACAGTATCATACAAAATGTCAAAATATAAATGATATATTATGGAGTGGAGGTATTTCTAAAGTCATAATATATAAAGTCATATTTACTATAATATACAAAAGATTTTTTTTTAGCATTAACAAATATTACTTAATCTTAAATTTGAAATAACATACATAATAATATTCCATTCAGGCATTCTATTTTGAATTAAAACAATTTAACAGACTTTCAAGAAATATTAGTTGAAAATTTGTAAAAAAATTTAAACAATTTGTAAATATTGATGGATATTGTAAAGGTTAAACTTTATCCGCTCTGTTTTATCAGTAAATTCTGATAAATAAAGAAAATGATCAACTTGGAGCTGGTCTAGAGATGATGGTTTTAGTGGTTGGCACCTGATAAATTGTCCCACACTACTAAACCTGTACTTGATAATTTGAGCTTGTGAATCTTGTACCTGACAATTTGAACTTGTGAATCTAGTACCGGACAATTTAAACTTATGAATCCAGTACCTGACAATCTAAACTTGTGAATCTAGTACCTGACACTTTGAACTTTTGAATCTAGTACCTGACAATCTAAACTTGTGATCTAGTACCTGACAATTTGAACTTTTGAATCTAGTACCGGACAATTTAAACTTGTGAATCCAGTACCTGACAATCTAAACTTGTGAATCTACTATCTAGTACCGGACAATTTAAACTTTGTGAATCCAGTACCTGACATTTAAACTTTGTGAATCCAGTATCTGACATTTAAACTTTGTGAATCTAGTACCTGACAATATCAATAAAAACACAGAAAAATAATAAATCAATGCCTGCGAATTAATGTCTGTACCTCATCGTCTGGCTTAATTGCTAGATTATACAATAATTAATAATTTCAAATTCTAATACAACAGTGTATCTAAATCTAATCAGTTTGAATGGATATATATATATGAAAGTTATAAATAATTAATTATAATTTGTTAGACTTAAAATGAGACATAATTTAACAAATTAATTTTTATTTGGCTTCAATTAACGTTATTGTGTTCCAGATTCAAGTTCCAGATTTATTTTCCGTAGGTTAAGTTTGTGGAATCAGGCAGACAGTTTTGTTGAACTGTATCCACTGTAGCAGGTCCATCTATAAATATATAAAATAGTTTGTGTAAATAAATATGAAATACATTCAGATACTTTAAAGGGAAAGAAAACTGTTTAGTCATTAGGAAGGGTACAAAAATCTGAGGTCCACCCCTGTACTCATTGGTATGAATGTAAAAGAACCTCTGGCTGTTGGAATTCGACAAAGAGTACTGCGTGGATAAAATGAAATGAAATGGGGTTTATTGTCCTACTGTTCTGCTCCGACAGGGCTAATGAAGATGGGTATACATCATACAGTGTGCTATGAGGGTAATCTTGCCTTGACACTAGCGGCACTATGACCTACTCTTATATCAAATTCCAACTGCCAAGGGATCTTTTACATGCACTCCAATGTGTACACAGGACCTTGGTTTATTCGTCCCATCCAAACTACTAGACAGCTGTCCTTGTCAGGCCCTCCGTCCTGCACCACTGAGGAAACCGTGTTGGAAAATCTTGAACTTCCCAGCCAAAACACCGGCACCAGGAGCGAACCCACGACCTCCAGGTTACAGGCTAGCGATCTACCCACTTAGCCATCTGGCTCCACTACTGCATGGATGTCTTCTTTAACCTGGATGGTGCATAAAAGTAGGACGTCATATTAATCTCTGTTTCATTTCAAAAGAGACTCGGACACATTGTGTATAACTTGGTAGCGATTGGAGAATCCAAGTAGGCTAGTCCTGTAACTATAGAACAGTTTTGTGGAGTCAAAAACTGACTAGTCCATTGCTGAAGATCTTGGGTAAACTCTGCCTTAGTTAAAATAATGCTGCATCATTAGTTAAAATATTAAATTTCTCACAGCTTAATCCATGCTAATTAATAATATGTACTCAGATTGATAAATTAAGAAAATGTAACCAAAATACCAACTCTAGATAGCCAGCTGGTCTGGTTTCAATCGGATTTAAAATAGGCCTTTAATTTCCATTCGTCACCAACAGAATTGCGATGAAATTTCAATTCAACATTACTTTGTAAATACTGACTGGAATTGTATTATTTTTATAGAATCATCTTTCACAATATTGTAGTTTACAAGGGATTCATATGGCTTAAAATGATGCATCAAGACTTTAGCATGATCTCAAATATAATGGGTAAAATATAAAAACTCACCTAGACCAAAGAATACATCCTTGGATATTTCTTTTCTAGCAGCTTCTATAGCATGTTTTACTGCCAATATTGCAGATGTAGCCATACAGACAGGTG